TGCAAGAACTCCAGGGCCGTCACCATCTTCATCCGGGGAGGGAACAAGATGGTGAGGGCTCGCCTCCCTCCTGCGCTTCCCTGGCTTTTTTGTCCATAACGTGTTTAGCTCAAGTAAAGTTACCATTAAAAAGGTTTCCTCAGAGGGCTGGGGATTTAGCTCAGCGGCACAGCGCCTGCCTGGCAAGCGCGAGGTTGTGAGTTTGGTTCCCGGTACCAGAGGAAAAAAAAAAAAGAGACTTTGTCTCAAAAAAAAGGTTTCCTCAGAGAAGCAGCGATGTATCATGGTATGAAGTTGTCGGTTTTCTGCCACCCCTGAGGTAGGAACAAGAAACGCAAGTAAATAGCCGCTGACGCTGTGTCCCTGAGGCAGTGAATCTCAGCGCGCGGCGGCCAGCACAGGTCTTGTGTGGCTCCTGGGCCTGCGAGAGTCCCAGGGGAGGAGTCGCCGCGGCCGCCTCGTGGGGTGGGGACGCTGTGAGAAAGGGTGTCTGGGTCCGTTAACACCCCTCCTGCATCTCTAGCTGAGGTGCTTCCAGCACGGGCTGTCAGGAGCTTTCCATACCCAGCAAGCATTTCAGCTGTGTCAGGTGTTAGGCCCTGCCTAGAGCTGACCACAGTAATTTCACACTGCTTTTCCTTAGATCATCGAGGAAGCAAAACGATCCCTTCACGACGCTCTGTGTGTCATCCGGAACCTGATCCGGGACAATCGCGTGGTGTACGGCGGAGGCGCTGCAGAAATATCCTGCGCGCTGGCCGTGAGCCAGGAGGCAGACAAGGTGAGAGGCACCGGGCGATGGGGTGGCAGCGGCCCTGCCTCAGCCGCGTGCCCAGGTGCGACCTGCGTCCCTTCATCCCCCTGACTGGCCCGCTGCAGCCTCTAGCTCAGTCGGGTTGGAACTCCGGGCAGTGGGCACTGCCTAGCTCTGAGACACCTCGGACGTGGCTCTGCATTCTGTCTTCATTTTCTGGTGCCCTTTGAGATTGCCATAAATAACAAGCCACGCAGCCTATTCCTCAGCCCTGCTGCCTGACTTAGCCGGTCAAAGGAGTTTGCTGGGTGTCCTCTAGGTTGGCTGCTTTGGGGTGACCCTGGCTTGGCCACCAGGCTCACTGCTGTCCCCCGCAGTGCCCGACCTTGGAGCAGTACGCCATGCGTGCGTTCGCAGACGCGCTCGAGGTCATCCCCATGGCCCTGGCCGAGAACAGTGGCATGAACCCCATCCAGACCATGACCGAGGTCCGCGCCAGGCAGGTGAAGGAGGCCAACCCCGCCCTCGGGATCGACTGTCTGCACAAGGGCACGAACGGTGAGTGGGCACGGGGCTTAGAGTGGGAGCCAGGTGGTTCTGTGTACCGTGTGCTGCGACCCCACGGAGCCGCACTCTGGAATGTTCAGGTTGATTACCGCAGGAGGGTGTCAGTCCTAACAGCGTAAAAGGCATTCTGATGACGGTGGACATCCATCCAAGGAGGACGTGATTTCACCTCTGGTTTTGGAAAGTGATTCGCTTTTCTGTGAATGTCTGTCAGAGTCCAGTAGCACAGGAGACAGCTCTGAAGTGGGCTTCGCTCGCCGCTGACTGTGAGGCTGTGTCCGTGGATTTCTCTTCCCCGTGTTGGGGCAGCTTTGGTGTGGACTCTGGAAGTTAGGTGCACTGTTTTTCATGCTCATAGCATACGTAGGTGATGGTACGGAGATAAGGGCCTGTTCGTGTGTTTTTAGGAAACATCCTTATCTCAGGCCCCCTCAGCGGTCCCAGTTGAGGTGTGGATACCCAGGGGTGCGCTGTCACGGGCAGTTCTTGTAACCAAGGAGCGGGGTGCACACGTACCCACGCTCCCTCCCTCCCAGTAGCTGTCCGTTAAGCAGCTTGAAGCCCAGAATATTCGCGGGGAAATGAAATGGACTGAGGTGGCGGCTGCCTGGCCTGCAGGGTGTGTGCTGTAGGAGGTGGGCCTTCCCTTGTTGGTCGGGCTGGCCCTGAGCGCCTGGGCGCCCGCAGCTGTCCTGGCGCAGCGCCCCCAGTAGCTGGGGCCCCAGTGCGGGGCCCTGCGCACAGCTGTTGGGTTAGTTTATCGTGGTTCTGTAGTAGCAGCGTCCGTTGGTACTGAGTGTGCTACCTCAGGATCATTTACTCGTATTCTTTCAGATATGAAGCAGCAGCATGTCATAGAAACCCTGATTGGCAAAAAGCAGCAGATCTCTCTCGCAACCCAGATGGTTAGGATGATTCTGAAGATCGACGACATCCGAAAGCCCGGAGAGTCCGAGGAGTGAAGAGAAGCCAGAGTGAGCCGGCTGTGGCAGACCCGCTGCTTGGAGCAGATGGTGTCTGCGGCGCCTCGTCGCTTATTTATTGTTCCGCCCTTTCTCAGCCGCTGTCGATGCTGTGGTAAAGTGGCAGTTTGGTCACGTGGTTTCACTCGTTCCGCCTGTGTGATTGCAGGATGCTGTCCACAGGCTTTTGTATTCATTAAAGGATCTCTCTAAACCTTTCTCTTCCGGTTTGAGAAGCATTCGTTGTAATGTTCATGAAGTGCTGTCTTAACTGAAGGGGTTTGAGTCAGTGCTTCTCAAAATAAGCTGGAGGAAGTGCTGCGGCAGTTAGGCACTTCGTTCTCTCTGCCTGTGTGAGTGAGTGAGGTGAGGACGCGCGCTCGGGTAGCCCGCTGTGATTTTTTCCCGCGAGAAGGGGAGGGGAGGGTGCTCTGCCTGCCACGGGGCGCAGTGGGTGAACAAGCTGAACGTCACAGGACCAGGCGTGGTGGCGCACACCTGTAAGCCCAGTGCTCGGGAGGCTGAGGCAAGAGGATCGCCCTGAGTTTGAGGCCGGCATAGTGAAACCCTGTCTCAAAAAGACAAAAGTTCAACATCACAAAAGAAGCAAGATCCTAGCCTCCTCATATCATCAGCCGAGCTCATCCTGCCCTGTCTTGACTGTCACCATCGGTGTCCAGGTGGCCAGGAGGTCTCAGGGTTTCCACATCCCAAACTGACCACAAGCGTGGGCCTCACACAGGTACTGTACAACGTGTGGCCCCGACACCAGGCTGTTCGGTACTGTTCCCAGGTTATACCTCCAGGGCTCACACCTGGCCTTTCCCCTGCTGGTCTCCACCGGCCCGGCCTCCCTCCGCTCTGAGAACCTGCTGGAAGAAGGACGCGGCCGCCCAGGTGTTAGCCTAAGGCATGGGGGTGGGCAGGCACCGCACAGCTGGAGACTCCAGGCAGGGAGGAAAGCCTTGAGGTTCCAGTGTGCGGGGCCGCTGCCGTGGGTCTGCTCCACTTTCACGGGCCCCGCTGGGTGTCCGTGTCTTGGCGGGGCGCCCGTCAGCTGTCATGGGGCCCGGGTGACCTGCGGCGTCTCAGTTCTCCCACCCTGCTTTGCCCTGCGTGTTGGGCTCTGGACATTCTGAGTGCTGCAGGCACAACCGAGGAGGGAGGTCACCTCCGTGCCGCCAGAGGGAGGACCCTGTCCCCGCATTCCAAGGCCTCCCTGCTGTGGCTGTGCAGGGCCAGCCGGCTCCCCTGTGGGCCCCCAGAGTGCTCCGCTGACACGACGCCAGTGCTCTTCCTCGGTCGCTGATGGCGCTTTGGGCGCGCTGGCTGCAGCCTCACGACGCAGCTGTCCCAAGCTCAGCGTCAGGTCACGCCTGTCTGCGCCTGCGCCCCGGGTGCCCTGACAGCTGGTGACTGCCAGCGCATCGCAGGATCCTGGGGAGGCCGGGCATGGGCGGCATGTCCCGGAGTAGCCGAGCACACGTGCCGGCAGCCAGTGGGGACCAGGACTGTCTGCAGTGGCCAGGCCCCTACCTGCTCAGGCTTTTGTCTGTCAACTCACAGAAGCTTTTCTGATCATTGTAAGAGCGGGCTTGGAGGTCAGTTGTGAGCCCCGAGGTTGACGTTGCTCAGCAGCCACCCTGAAACTGGCTTTGACCCCGGGCTGGGCAGAGCCGCACGACAATTCCAGGGCTCCCTCTCCTCTTCCCGGGTGCTCGGTCCAGGCACAGGCTCCTCCAGCCGCTCGTGGGGACAGCTCCCGAGCCGCGGTGACGCCCAGTGACCCTGCGCCCTGCACGGACTGCAGACGCCACAGTACCCTGCCTGGCAGGGTGACCAGTGCTGGCGTCTGCCTGCCCTAAATCCACGAGTTACAGCCCGTCAGAAGCCAGCGTGGGGTGACGATCTGCACCCCAATAAAGGCTTCAGCCCAGAGACCCCCTCATTCTCCATTGATCCCCACTACCCCTGACACCTGAGTAACTGCCCGCTCAGGGCTCCCCGAGGAAGAGCCAGCTTGGCCAGAACAAAACGGTCAGATGAGGTCCCCAGGGTGCCTGCCAGCTCCTGCGGGAGGGGACCAGTCACAGGTGCTCTGCACTAAGTGGTCCATTGACAAGCCGTCCATGTGCCGGGTGCAGTGGTCCCAGATACTCAGGAGGCTGAGGCAGGAGAATCACTTGGGCCCAGGAAGTTTCGTCCTGGGCAACACAGCAAGACCCTGTCTCAACAAACCGAAAGCATCCTGGGAAAAGCACCCTGTGAACATCCGCAGCCAAACCTGGAGCCCCGTCAGGCAGGGCTGCCGGCTCTGGCCACGCCGGTGGGAGACACGGCAGAGCCCTTTAGAGGGGCGTGTGGGGCGCCGCACCGCCTGCCTGGAACCCCAGCTGCTCGGCAGCCCAAGGCAGGAGAATTGGAAGTTCAGGGCCAGTCCGGCACCTCCACAAGCCCGTCTCAAAACGAAGATGGCCAGGACAGAACTCAGTGGTAGAGAGCCCCTGGGAGCGATCCCCAGGGCCCCGAAGTGACGCCGAGTCACTCGCCCGGACGCACAGCACCGGGCACCTCAGCCTCCGGGGCCACTGACCTTTGGACTCAGCACCCCGAGCCCTGGGACCCACACGCTGTGTGTGGGAAGACCGGCCCTCGCAGGGTAATAACTAGGCCATCGTTTTCTGGTAGCTTGAGGGAAAAGAATGCAAAAACTCAAGTTTATTAGTTGATATAATGTGATCAATAGAAAGTTTATTGCAGCGTTTTACAGATGAGAGAACAGGGTGAACAGGTAATCAGGCTCTTAGTCTGTCCCCAGCTACCCTGGCCCCAGCATTACAGGGACGCCATTGTGCAGGAGGTGACCAGCTAAACACTGCAAGGCCAGGCTGGGAGCCCCGGGCCTCGCCTGACACCCTCGCCACGACTCCTCCAGGTCCTGAGGTGCTCATCTACCCCTTCATTCTCACTGGATGGACATGTTCAAGATTACTTCCACACATTAAAGCTTGCTTCTGAATTTACGTTTCAGATGAAATTAATTTCAGCACCCTTACATTGATTTTTTTTGAATTAAAAAGGTAAAATCACGTGATCTCGGTACTTCAAGGCAAATTTCTGAATGAAGCAATTTTGAGGACGCTTTGCCGGATCGCTGCTAAACATACTTGTGCAGCCACTCCACCAAGTTCCGCCGGGCCTCGTCGATGTAGGGCTTGTCGGCCGGCTGGCAGTCTTCCTTCTTGCGGTGCACAAAGCCGTGAGTCTGCCCGGTGAAGGTTTTAACCTGGTACTCCACTTTGCAGTGCTCCTTCAACCTCTGGGTCAGCAGAGAGACCTGGTGTGCAGAAGCATTGGTGATGATAGGACTTTGTAATGTGGAGGCATTCTCATGGAGTTTTACATACAGTGCCTAACATATAGAATGGTGTGTTTGCGAACTTAAATAGTACCTGAACATATGCTGGCATGCATTCTTATCAAAGATGAACTCAAGTTCACGGGCTGTCAGTTCTAAAATGCACTTATGCAGACTGCTAGAACTGACAGACAGAGGCAGCATATATTCGAGTGGAATATGTCATCAAAACCCCTTAGGAAAGTCTCCATGCTGTAAATCTTGCAGTGGGTGTTCATAGAAGAGATTTAGCATCAGCGCTTTAGCGACACATTTCAGCTGTACCAAATTCTTTACCTTTGACTTCATAACTAACACAGTTCTTAACACTGACAAAAGAGATTTCAGAGCAATATGAAAAGAATACAGGGCCAGGGATACAGCTCAGCAGCACAGCGCCTTGCTTGGCAAGTGCAAGGTCCTGAGTTCCATTCCCGGTACAAAAAAAAAAAAAAGAGCAGGAGCTGGGGATATAGCTCAGTGGCATAATCCCCTGCCTGGCAAGCGCAAGGTGGTGAGTTTGATCCCTGGTACTGCAAAAAAAAAAAAAAAAAAAAAAAAAAAAAAAAAAAAATACAATAGCAATTAAGGTGCTTCTGGACTTATGACAGGGTGTCCAGGTAACCTATCTTGAGTTCAAAATATTAACGATCAAAAATGTATTAGAGAGCTGGGCGTGGTGGCACACGACTGTAATCTCAGCACTTGGGAGGCTGAGGCAGGAGGATCTTTGTGAGCTCAAGGCCAGCCTGGGCTACAAAGTGAGCTCAAGGCCATCCTGAACTACATAGTCAGACCCTGTCTCAAAAAGACAAAAAAAAAAAAAAAAAGCATTAGGGGCATGGAGACACCGCTCAGTTGTAGAGAGCGTGCTTTGAATTCAGGAGGTCTCAGTAAAGTTCCCAGAAGCATCAAAAGAAAGAAATTGCACTTCCATTGTGTTGGTGTACTCCTGTAGTTCTAGCACTTTGGGAAGCTGAGGCAGGAGGATCAAAAGTTCAAGCTCAGCCTGGCAATGTATCAAGACTCAGAATTAAGCGCCAGGGATATAGCTCAGCAATATAGCTCATCGGCACAAGCGCCTGCCTGGCAAGTGCAAGGTCCTGAGTTCGATTCCTGGTAAAAAAAAAAAAAAAAAAGCCTCGGAATTTTAAAAAATAAATAAGTAAAACAGCTGCAGGTATAGCTCAGGGCCCACAGAGTTCCAGCACCAGGAAGACACATGGAATCCCAGTGACGGGGACAGCCGAGCTCGGCCACCCAGCATGCTGAGTGCTGCCTTTGTCCCTTGGGACCTGGCCTGAGCAAATGGGACCTGGCCTGCCAGCCCAGAAAGATCCGAGCTCAGGGCACGGTTTTCACTGAGTTTCATGGTTTCACCGTCTTAAAGTTGAAAAACCCTCAGGCGCACTGTCCTGTGCCGGGCATCTGTACGTAACCTCATTTGTATTGATACATTTGCGTATTAGTCACTAATAATAATTTCCCAAGGACTGGTTGTTGGTTTTTCTCTTTGGGGTCCTGGGGAAGTTCCCCAGAGACCGCGGAGTGGTATTGGCGCACACAGGGCCGGGGAAGGACGCACTTACTTGCTCAAGGGGAATCACAAAGTCATTTTCGGCGAAAATGAACAGCGTGGGGTTCTTTAAGTCATACACGTCCTCCGAATCCTTGACGATGCCTGAAAAATCAGTTCCAGGGCGTCACAGTCGGGCACAGGAAACTGCCTGCGCCTGTCCCCACCACGGGCTCCAGCCACAGCGCTCGGGGCAGGCTCGTCGGGCAGGGCGGCCACTGGCGTGGGCACGGGTGGCCAGGACAGTCTGCAGCCGTCCAGAGCTGTGAAGCTCGCCTTTGTCCTGTCTCAGTCTCAGAGAAGAACTTGGCAGCAAGTTTTAAGGTAACGGTAGGGAAAAACCTTCTCCACCCGCTTCCTGCCACAGCACAGCAAGGAGAGATCCTCCTCTCCAGGAGACAGGGGCCCGCGAGAGGTGGCCACGGCCCCGCCCGTGCTGGCCAGGCGGGAATGTGTGTGTGGACGGTATGGCTGTCCCGAGATTCCGCGGCGCGCGTCAGCTCGACAGCAGCCAGCAGGTAGCGCCGTTGCGGCACCCGCTCAAGGGCGCCCCTCCTCGCATAAAGGCACTGCCCGGTCAGCAACGTTCCTGAGTTTATTTGCTTTTGTGCCGGTAAATATTTAACAGGGCTTTTTAAATGCTAAAAGTAGGGGAAAGTACCAAACTGAGAAATGAATAAGCTAAATAAGCACCATGACACTGCACACATTTGCAGATAAAAAATAAGCTAAAAATTAAAGTGTTGATGGTAAAAAGACAGGTATGATATATTTGTCAAAGGCACTTATTTAGTGTCAATTGTAAAGTTATGTTTAGCATTAATTTTTGCATGTGTTACCTTAAAACACTGAGTTTGAAAAAAAATAAAACACTGAGTTTGAAATAATTACTATATTACGTGAGTACACTGCAGTGAAAAATAAATAAGAAGCATAGCTTTGTAGTATACTAATACAAAAGCATGCTGGGTGTGGTGGCGCACATCTGTAATCCCAGCACTTAGGAGGCTGAATCAGGAAGATTGCCGTGAGCTCAAGGCCAGCCTGGACTACGTAGTGAGACCCTGTCTCAAACAACCAAATAAAATACATTTTAAAAAAGTTTTATATAGTGCTGGGCATGGTGCACACACACCTATAATCCCAGCACTCAAAAGGCTGAGGCAGGAGGATCGCCTTGAGTTCAAGGCCAGCCAGGGCCGCAAAGTGGGTTCAAGCCATCCTGAACTGCAGAGCAAAATCCCATCTCAAAAAGACCCCCAAAAAAGCTTCATGGTTCTCAGTATAAAAGCTCTCTGTTGTCCCCGGAATGCCCTGTGTAGTGTCCTTACTCTGCCGTTTCTTTGGGCAGAGAGAGTGTGCTCAGCCGCTGCTGCGCCTCTGGCCACACTAAATGTCCTGCTGCCTCGGGCGGGTCTTCCTTTTCCCTGGTTGGGTGTGTGCATGTGCGCAGTGTGTGTCCCGGCTTGGGAAAATGTTTTTCCAGCTGTGTGCTCAGCGGGAGATGGCTGCATACGGAGGAGCATCGCTGGAGGAGCGGCCGCCCCTGCGTCCCAGCCCAGGGACACTGAGACTGAGATGGCGCTGGTGGCCCCGGCCCTTCGGGCTCCCAGCAACATCCTCCAGGGAGCGCAGCCTCACAACCCCACTCCTGTGCTTGGATCCCCAAACCCTGTCTTGTGCTGCCCCGAGCAGGCGGCCCTGGGGTGAAACCACCCCAGCCCCTGTCACTGCAACAGCACAGGGGAGCCAGGCGTGGTGGCGCACGCCTGTAATCCCGGCACTCGGGAGGCTGAGGCAGGAGGATGGTTGCAAGTTCGAGACCAGCCTGGGCTACATAAGTGAGCTCAAGACCAGCCTGAACGGCATAACAAGACCCTATCTCAAAAAAGACAAAAAAAAAAAAGAGCACAGGCGACTCACCGTAGACGGATACCCCTGCCTTGACCTCAGGGTACTTGGTCATCACGTGATGCACCACGATGCCCCCCCAGCAGAAGCCCACGATGCCGATCCTCTGGGCCCCACACTGCTGTTTCAGGTAGCGCAGGACAGCGTCCACCTCCCTAAGGGAAGGAAGAGGGACTCAGAATCCAGGGTTCCTTGATGAACCCCTAAAAGGGCAGGGCTTTTCCAGAGTAGTTTGCCTGTAATCAATCCCAGCACTCAAGAGGCTGAGGCAGGAGGATTGCTGTGAGTTTGAGGCCAGCCTGGGCTATATAGCGAGACCCTGTCTGAAAACACCAGAACAATAAAAAAGGAGAAATCAACTCTATGGCCACTTTTTCTTTTACTCATAACAGATTTATGTACATTTAAATAAATACATCGTGCCACTGTGTGCAAGTAGTTATTTTCATATTATAAAAGCCATGATTAAGCCAAGCATGGTGCACACACGTGTATCCCAGCACTCTGGGAGCCTGAGGCAGGAGAATCACAAGTGCAAACATAGCCTACGCAACTTGGCAACTCAGTGAAATCCTGTCTCAAAATAAACAAAGGGCTGTGGATATAGCTGTTGTACATGTACCCGGATGTCCCTGCAAAGCTTCATGTGCTCGTAGGTGGGGCTTTTGGGAGGTGGCAGGATCCTGGGTGTGTGGTGCTGGACTAAGGGTGTGTGGTACTGGGTTAGTCCGCTGACTGCGATTAGCACAGTTCTGGATGTGGCTGGGTGGATTTACTGAAGACAAAAGCCCCACCCTGTGTGTATGGCACCACCAACAGGCTCATAGCCTGCATGGAATTAAAGGAAAGGCAGACAGGCCACTTGCTGCTGCTACCTCCTGCCTGCCTGCCTGCCATGGGCTGTTTCTCCTCTGCCGTGCTGGAGAGAGAAGTAATGGATGGCAGGAGCAGCTGCAGCCACCTTGCCACCCAGGAGGGATTGATAGATGCCTGAGAATGAAGGCAGCACCCAGGAAGTGCAGCCAAGCAATGTAGGGCAAATGAGTCCTGGAGTCAGCTCGAGCCAGGGGCCAAGTCTCTCCTGAAGCCAGAAGCCACTTCTTCCATTCATAAACTCATAGCTCTCCGGACCGCGTAAGCACCCAGGATGGGTCCTGTCAGCGGCACGCTCCCCCACACACTCCCACATCGTTCCAGTGGCCTTGTGGCAGGAGGCGCTCCGGGCTGCAGCGCCCTGGGCGAGGTCCCCTCTTGGCCGAGTGTCCCTGTGTCCCTCCCTCCGCCTTGGGCTGCGGTGACTTACTTATCCACCTTCCGGGCATCTCTGGACTTGAGCCACTCAGGGAAGATGCTCATGTCCCCCGAGGGGCTCCATGGCTCCTTCCCCACGAAGAAGTCTGGGACGATGGTTCTGGAAAGCACAGAAGTTCACAGATTTTCATTCCCAGACGGGCATTTGTGTGCATTTCTAAGGAATTGAGAGGGAGGTGACTCGGGCCCGGAGCAGGGAACGCAGCAGCTCTCAGGCACCGCTGACGGCCGCCGGCACGCAGCCGGAGACTGGGGTGGTGCAGCACAGGTGCACGGCCCCCGGCAGCCTGAGTGTGACCAGGCCCGGGAAGAGAGAGGGCCGGTGGTGCGGGGGGGCTGGGGGGCTTGAGATGCTCCGGGGTGGGACACAGGGCCCAGGTGCGATGGCCACGAGGGTCCTCAAGAGTCCCCACGCCATGTCGTCAGCCTCGGGCCGAGGGCAAGGCCAGTCACCGTGACCAAGCAATTTCCCAGCCTCCGCCCAGGCTGCCAGCGGAACACCGGAGGGCAAGGTCCACAGCAGGTTCAAGAAGAGGCCACGGGGCAGGGCGCATAGCTCAGCAGCACAAGCACCTGCCTGGCAAGAGCAAGGTCCTGAGTTCAGTTCCAGTACAAAAAAAAAAAAAAGAGAGAGAGAAGAGGCCACAGAACGGTGAGTCTGAGCTGGCCGTGGCTGGAAGAACCTGGCTGCCCGTGCAGGGGCAGACAGGCCGCTGCACCTGGTCAGAAAAGGCAAATGCACTGCAGGGCGACTTTAACACGTCTTGGTCACTTTCGGCCTTTCGCAGGGGGTGAGGGGCAGTGCTGGGATCAAACCCAGGGCCCTGGGCAGCCAGGCAAGCGCTCTACTATGGAGCTGCATGGTGTGGTTGGAAAATAAGATGAATGCATAAATTTTAAAGTACGCATTAGAGCAAAAGACGCACTGCTGTGAATCCCTTCAAGCTCCTTCCCTTACTCCGAACACACTTCTCCCGCCGTTCCTGCCGCTGCCTGAGGCAGTTCTCCAAGTCCTGAGTGTCTTTAGCTGCGATGCTGTGGCTGCCTTGATATCCTGAACAGATTCAAGACGATGCCCTCTCATGGTCATTTCGACCGTGGGGACAAGTCCCAGGTGTCCACTGACAGGTCCAGCGAATGAGGTGGGCGAGGATGCGGCATGCTGTCTATACAAGCCTTTCTGTTGGGTGGCGCTCGGCAGCAGCATTCACTGCATTTTTGATCACCCTTGGCGATCCAGAAAGGTCTCCAGGACTGCTTCAGAAAGTGGCAGGACCGATGGGGTGGGTGTGCTCACAGTGAGGGGGAGCCGTGGGAGGATTCCTGGCCCTGCGTCTCCTACCACAATAATCTTCTGTTTAAACAGGCATCGTAGAGCGAGCCCACACCTGTGTGTCCTGGGCCAAGCCTCACTCTCTGGGTTGGGCAGACGGCATGCTGCAGCTTCCCGCCCTGGGGTGAGGCTGTGCGTGTGGAGGGCTGAACCTCCGTGCACACCTCCCACGATTTGCTCAGACCCTCGCTCAGGACGCGCGGTCAGGCCGCTGGGGCCTTGCCGTCAGCTCACCCAGGGTTAAGCCCGTGACTGAGACCCTCTTGTGAAGCCTGGTTTCCTAATCCACAAAACAGAGGCATCACGGTCCCGCCCCCAGGGCTGCGAGAGGACTGGGGCCTGGGGTCTTTGTCGGCACTGCGGCCAAGCCAGAGGCAGTCGGAGGTTGCCTGTTGCCTCATTCCTGGGTGTGTCCTAAAAGTTAAATTCCTGCTCCTCCGGCAGGAGTCTGGGGGCATGGGAATGGGAAACGTGGGGGGAAAGGCGAGGATTGTGCCCTGCCACCGCGGGTGCCAGCCCTTCCCTGCGGGTTCTCTTCGCAGGAGAAGAGCCGGTGCACCCCCAGGCTTCCAGGCTGACCTTCCGAGAAAAGCAACGGCAGCTGGAGATGCAGCTGCTCCTGGGCTCCCGGGCGCCCTGCTTTCTGAGGCTGCAGAGGAAAAAGGTTCTACCAACCTCCGCGCCTCATGAAAGCTTTAACCCCAGGGGTCACTGAGAAGCCACAGCCACTTGATCGGGCAAAGGCATCACCCTGGGTGACGAGCGAGGCCTCCCTGTGCCATGTCTGGACCGGGCTCATTGCGGCAGGCCATGACAGTGCAGTGGGGACCAGGGTGACCCATAACGCCCGCTGCCCAAGCTGGCCGGGGAGCCTGGGTCGGGCCAGGGGTGGGTCCTCCTCGGCACCCATGAGCCTGCCCATGGCGCCCTGTTACAGGTATAGAGGCCCACGTAGGGCGAGGAACTGGTGTCCCCCAGACCTGCCAGGCCAAAAACCCCAACAGGGACCCGAAATCCAGAGACCTGGCGGCAGGTAGGGGTGTCACTCCACAGGACGATTCTGTCACCTTCACACCAGCAGTGAACAAGAGTACAGCCAGGTTCGCTTTTGGTTTGTTTCTCTGTGAAGAACATAGTCAGGTTTTTGCTTGTTTCTGTCTTTCCTTTTTTGGGGGTGGGGGGTTTCTTTTTCCGGTACTGGGAATCGAACTCACAACCTTGCGCTTGCCAGGCAGACGCTGTGCCACTGGGCTAAACCCCCAGCCCCTCTTTCTGTCTTTCTGAAAGGAACAAAATGGACCCCAGAAACGAACATGAATTTAAGGAAAGAAAGCGCTTTGTACGTACGTGTATCCATTTCCTGCGATCAGGTCAGCCATGTACCTGGTGTTGGGCAGTTCCCAGCCAAATATATCCTGGACCACAATGACGGCCCTTCCTGCATCCGCCGGGGGCCTGGTGATGTAGGCCCGGATGTGCTCCACCTGCACCTCACGGCCCATGCCCCCGTACTCCAGCCTGTGGCCGATGTCGCAGGGGCAGGGCTTCGCCTCGTTGGCCATCGCGGCTCCCTTGGCGGGTCAGGCTAGGAGAGAGGAGCACATGTCATCCCGGTGGCGCAGACCTGCAGATCACAGGGCCGGAAAACTCATCCTGTTCCTGGGGAAAAGTCCATTTTAACCCCGTCTAAGGCACTCGTTATGCGGAAAGTTGATGATCCTGGTTCTGGAAGCATCGATGATGAGCTCCTGAGGACCTGTTCCCGCACTGAACGTAGCCAAATAAGAACAGTGAAAGCAGCAGGGGTAGCACTTTTGGAAAAAGGGGCACACGCACGCCCAGCCCCGTACAGGGAGGGAAGCTGAACGCCAGACGAAGGATGACAAGAGACCCATGATGCCACGACGTCGGGGGTCAGGGCCAGACCCAGCACCCTTCTAACAGCTCAGGGTGCTGAGGGTGTCGCGCCAGGGAGGCCCTGGGACAGTGCTGGTCAACAGGAGTTGGTAACTGAAGCCACCTCTGCCGTGTGAGCTCCCGAAAGTTCACATCTGGGGCTGGGGGCGAAACCAGAGAACGGCGGTGTCACCCAGGCTTAGAAGTACCGAAAGGACGCTCACCTCACCCGAAGTTCAGAGTGGGGCGGAAGCAGAAACCTTGCCAAGTTTGCACTGTCCCCCAACATCACGTCGGGGCACCAACGCTGAGAAATGACCAGAACAACCGACCCTGGGCCAAGGAAGGTACAGACGCCAGATCCACTTTGCGGGGAGACTTCCACACCCCAGGCGGGGAAGGTCGGCCCGGTTTGGAAAACCACCCTCAGAAGCGAGCAAGCAAGCAGTCACCGCAGACACAGCTGCGCAGAGAAAGCCGCGGTGAAGGTGGACTTTACTCGAGGGCAGACCCGCAAAAGTTCCGCCAATCAAAGCAGAACGCAGGGGAAAAGTAATTGAAAATGTGTTAACTGCAAAGCATGAAATCTCCCGCATAAACACTGAAATAAACTCAGATAAATGTAGGCAGGTCAAACGCACTCATTAAGACGGACTCTCCAATCAGATTGTGTATAGAGCTAGGGTTTTGTCTAAGAGGGAGGTGCACACCTGTGCATGCAGGCGCACAAAGACTAGATCCCAAGCAGATAACCTAAAGATGCATCTCAAGGCCCTAGAAACACAAGGCCGGTCCAAATCCAAAACTAATAGAAGGAGAGAATAAACCGAAGCAGAAACTGATAAAATCGAGATTGAAATAACAATACAGAGCAGCAGTGAGCCGAAGAACTGCCTCTGAGAGAGGGCGGGAGGGAAGGAGTGAAAGGGATCGAGATGTGAGTGTCCTCACACAAACACACACTAATACAAAAGACGGAAGGAAATTGTAAGGAGTAAACTAGGACTCATTCCATCAGGAACGGGGAGCGCTGAGCCCAAAGACGTAAGTGGGGCCCTTCATTAACAAGTAGCAAGTACAGGCTTCCAAGCAGACGTGTGCAGTTGCAAACTCCCCGCGTCCTGACGGTGGGGTTTACGTGCGGACGGCCCCCAGAGCCTCCTGCGCTCAGAGTCGGCTTTTGAAAGGCGACTGGGTTACACGGCTCATAACTGGCTTGCTATTAGGAGGCGAAGCCTGGGTGGAAGAACTGAGTCCTTGTAGGCGTGGCCTGAAGGGCCTATCTCCCTCCCCCGCCCCCTCTGCTTCCCACTGCCCCGCCAGGGGCTGTTTCTTCTCTGCGATGCCCCTCTGCCAGGCCACCCGGCCTCGGAGCCAGCCCACTATGGACTTAAACTTCTGCACACTGTGAGCCAAGTCAGCCTTTCCTCCTATAGCCCGTGGGTGCTGGCGCTGTGTCCCAGAGACAAGGAAAAGAGCAAAGGCACTAATCCACGATGCAAGTTTCACTGAGTTTTGTTTTTTGGGGTTTTTTTTGTGGTGCTGAGTTCTGAGCCCAGGGCCTCGCACATGCTGGGGCAAGCACCGTATCCCTGAGCTACACCCCCAGCCCCCAAGAGAGACTCTATATAGAAAATGTTATGTAAGTATAATGAAATTATAATAAAAACTCAAAAGATTCAGAACTGAATTACAAGGAAAGAACCCTAGCACAAGTTGATGCAGGCAGTGCAGTAGAAGGTAGAGAAGTCATCACAGCCTAGATTGCACATCATAGGCCAGAGGAAAGAATGAAAATAAGCTAAGCATCAGGACATCAGAGGAAAAAAGCAGGATCAACCCTGTCTTAGTCCCTTCTGCTGCTGTAACAAAACGGCATAAGCTGAGTGGCTCATGGCACCAGGGTCATTTCTCCTATTCTGGAGGCCGAGAACCCAAGAGCAAGACCGCAGCAGACTCGGGTCTGCCGACCCCTCTGGTTCCTGGGCGGCACTTTCCTCCTGCTCGCCTGGGGAGGGACAGGACGGTGCCTGGTGGCTCTTTCCTGAGGTCCTGGTCCAACAGCTGCGCCATCCTGACCTCCCGCCTCCTTACACCCTCACCTTGCGGGCTGGGATTCCCATGTGTGCATTTGGGGAGGACAGAGACTCTCTGGCCAGAGCAAATCCAAACAGGGAGAAACAAGGTTGGAAGTACTGAAAATAAACAGGAGAGAAAATCCCATAAGATTAAACTCTGATGTCTTGACGAGTTATGAGGTAGGTATATCTCCAGGAAAACTGGAGACAAACACAAACACACACACAGCACACCAATCTCTGGGATGAAAACGCGACACAGGGTGCTCTCTCTAGCGGGGCTTGGTGGCGCACACCTGGAGCCTCGGCCTCCTGCGTGCCGGCGGATGGCTGGGGATTCGGCTATGTGACGGGGCTCATGGTCTCGAGGCCGGTGTGACCTTGCTTTAGGAACAGAGAGGTAGGTGAAGGCCACTGTGCTTCCGAGACGCACGGAGAAAGCTCCTGACCGCGGTGCTCCTAAGGCAGGACCGCATCTGTGGAGGACAGTGTGAAGAATGCGGGGCCCTGGGACAGGGAAGACCCCGCTTCCCATTAACTTCTCCCCTCTACTTCAGCCCCGCTCCATAAAAGTACACTCCCCTCCCCTCTGCTTCTCGCTTGCTAATAAAAGCAGGTCCAGTGCAGAGATTAGTGTCCTGTCCACTAGGGGCAGGCTCCTCCTGGCCCCCTTGTACCAGAACATTGCCTTCTGTCTTTGTGTCATTCCCTGCTGTTCCCCCGACAAGTATCAGGGGTCTAATCAGATCCTCGAGAGTTCAAAGCTAGCTGGGCTACATAGTGAGTCCAAGGCTAGCGTGAGCTAGATAGCAGGGCCCTGTCTCAAAAAAAATTTTTTTTCTCGGTAAGGGGCTAGGGCGTAGTGTGGTGCACAGCACACGGCTGGCATTCGTGAGGCCTGGGGTTCAAGCCCCAGCCTGCAAAACAGATGCGAACCACAAACCAAACTCTAAATACCACTAGAAATTAGCACAAACTGCATGGCAGCAAGTTTGAAAACACACAAGCTTCACAAATTGGTAGAATAGTGGAGGGAACCTTTCTCAACTGTTCTACATGCCTAACTGCAAAATTCAATGTAAGCTGGGCACTGTGGCTCATGCCTGTAATCCCAGCACTCAGGAGGCTGAGGCAGGAGGACTGTTATGAGTTCCGGCTACAAAGTGAGCTCAAGGCCAGCCTAAACTGCATAGCGAGAACTTGTCTCAAAAAGACAACAACAAAACATCAATGTAAAAGGAAAAAAGGTAGTGAGACATGTCTAAATGAAAAGAAACTAAAGAGAAATGAACCCAGTTATACTGAGTGAATGTTAGTGAGATCCTAGTTCAGAATGAAGAGCTGATATAAGAAACATTTGAAAGGCAACAAGGCTGTGAATACGGGTGACGGTGGAGGTCACACCCCAACACCAGTTTTCCCAGTGTGACGAGGAAGCACCAGCAGGGCTGCGTGGAGAGTGCGCCTGCCTTAGAGACGTGCGTGCAGGTGGGGGGGCTCCGTAACATGGACAGCGCAGCCGCAGTTGGTTCATAAAATGCTCGTGTGTGCGTGCACAGCACACATCAGATTCACAGAGCAGCACAGCAAACTGCCGGCCGCTACAGAAGCCACAGCAGTACTGAGCGTTCGCCATCCTCATCTTTCCAGGTTTCTGCTTGCAGCCTCACCCAGACCACAAAGCTGGAGGTGGGACCCTGGTGGTCACCAACCCAAACAGTCACCAACCCAAACAATTAGAACATACATATCAGGCATAGACATCAGCTCTCAGCACATGCAATGGCCTATGTCTTGGATATGAAGACTAGACAAACCGGGGGTGAGAATGAGAAGGTTGGACGACTCCCTCACTGGGAATTTGGGTACAAAAACCTGAAATGAAATTTGGACACTCGGGCCCTGGAATGCACCGTGAGGGAGTATGTCCTGGTGACTTCGGGAACAGGAGGATGCCCCTTGGACATCCGTGCTGTAACCCAGGGCGTTAAGAAAGGAAGTGAGTCTGCATCACCATAGCAACAGATGAAGAGAATGCGCTCAGAAAATGCAGAGGTGGCTGTGGGCTGAGCTTCCACATCCCCTAAAATCCCTCATTCCAGCAGGGAGGAGGCAGAGGCAGAAAGACCGCAGGTTCCCACCCAGCCTGGTACCTTAGTGAGAACTTGTCTCAAAATAAAAATGAAGGGGCTGGGGATTTAGCTCAGCGGCATAGCGCCTGCCTGGCAAGTGCAAGGTCCTAAGTTCGATTCCCGGTACTGGAAAAAAAAAAAAAAAAGGTCTGGGCATGTGGCTTATGGTGGGGCATCCTTGAGGCTCCATCCCCTGAAAAACAAAAGAATTGTGCATTGAAGTCGTAAGTCCCAGTTCTGTTTGGAGAGGGTTCCTTAGGAGGCACGAAGGTTGAATAAAATCGAAAGGCCAGGTTCCTGCTCCGGCGACATCGGTGTTTCATGATCTTAGAAGAGACACCAGCAAGACTCCATCCACAATCAGATGCACACACGCCGACCTAATTCCATGCAAGGACGCGTGAGAAGCGCACGG